AGTAAATAATATAAAGTATAAAAGTAGCTTTTTTTTGTGTTTTTCTTCGTAACAATAGCAGCTAACATAACGCATTTCTATTTGTCCATTATACCTATATCCGTAGTATATTAAATTTTAAATAGCTAGGTAAAGTCATCCACCGGTCCAAAACAATTACTATTTTCAGCTATCCATAGAAATTAAGAAATTTGAGGTGACTGAGTCAAATTTTAAGCCTCAACAATAATCTTAATCACATAAAAATGCTCAACACGTATTCAATACAACTGAATATAATATAAGACTAAATTGTGCACCAATTAATGAAATTTCTTTCATACTAAAAAAATGTTAGCATAAAAGTAAAAGCGTCACCATACAACCATGTTAGGATTGATTTTATTTAAGGTTGATTTTGACCATCAAATAGTCAAGATTGACTCCTCTCGCATTCTTACATTTTAATTTAAAAAAAAAAAAAAAAGAAACCAAGAGTTGCATTTCAAATCCCTGCAGGCTGCATTCGGTTTGGCTTAGACATGCATCCATTTATATGTTTGCCTTAACAAATATATAATGTTCTTATTTGTTTTTTTTAGATAAGAAATGAAATACATATCCTTTAATATTTGTACGCAGCTCCCATATCGCTCAAAAAAACAGCGGTGAAAAAAAAAATTATGGTAATTCACACATTTTCTTTAAATAACAAACTAAAATTATTTTTTCTTTTAAAGGACAATTATTTTAGTTAAATTGACTATTTTTTATTTAATATTAAAATTAGAAGAAAAAAAATTCCTCACACTTTCTCCCACCATAATTTTTATTGTGTAACTTTTTTTCGCACCATAAAACATTGTAATTTTGACTAAAATAACATGTGTCCTTTAAAAGGACAAACATTAATCCCTATAAAAAAATTACAAAACAAAAAATCAGAATATTACACATCGTCATCAAGTGTCACCAACGCTAATCAACAGCTCTTTCTGGCCGTCCGATATGTTCCCAGCATCATCAACGGACGTCAGTAACCCAGCCCGTGAGGCTTGGTGCTCCCAATCAGTTGTCCCAATCACATACAACATCAGCCCAGCACAACAAACCTGGGCCGACAATAGGCCCAGCCAAAGCCCACAGAACCCAACCTTGAACCAAAACCCAAGCCCAACCGCCACGGGCATTCCCACCAGATAAAACGCGCTCAGGTTCACGTTCGCCGCCACGTTCGGCCGCGCCGTCCCCCTAACGACGCCGCATCCCACCGTCTGCGGGCAGTTCCCAAGCTCGCAAAGTCCGAGAATCGGCAGAGCCGCTGCCGTTAGCCGCAAAATCTCCTCCTCTCCGGTGAACATCCTCCCCCATCGGTTCCTCGTCGCCGATGCAAAAACTACTGCGGAGAATCCCATCACAGCAGCGAGGAACACCGCCACCACCGCCGACAGCCGCGCCCGTGAAGGCCGGTTCGCGCCGAGCTCGTTCCCGACGCGCGTCGACACGGCGAACCCTAGCGACGATGGAAAAACATAGATCAACGACGTCGTTTGGATGAGTAGACCCATGGCTGCCACGGTGGCAGTGGGGTCCACGAGAATTCCACAAAGCACGATCATGATCTCGTACCACCACCACTCCAAGCAAACGGAAACGCAACTCGGTGCGGCGAGCCGAAGCAGCGGCTTCCAGCCGTTGAAGCATTCACGACTCGGCTCAGTCCACGTGGCAAGGTGGACCCCACTTATCCAGACATAGAGCACCAAGAAAACCAGAATGGAGAGGTTGGAGGCGGCGGAGGCGGCGGCTACACCGGCGACACCATGTTTGATTAAGAAAAAATTAAATGGCAGGTGGAGTAGTGTTCCTGCTAGGGATGCTAACGTGACTGGGTGGGTGACGCCTTGTGCGCGAAGGTAGACACGGATTGGGTGGAGGAATGAGTTGGTGATGAGGTCAGGGAGTACGAAAATAAGGTAAGTTTGTGACATACGTGTGATGTTTGGTTCTTGATGTAAGAAAATGAAGATTTTGTACATGTTGAGCCACAACAATGAAATGGGGATGGAACATGTTAAGAGGAAGATAACACAACGATGAAGTGTTAAAGATAGAAGCTTTGGACGGTTTGCTCCGAAGGCTTGTGAGCATAGTGGTTCCATTCCTAAGGATAGTCCTGAGAGAACTGAATAGCCTGTTATGTTTGCGAAGGCTATGGCTAATGAACCCGCTGCTAGTTCAACCTCACCAAGGTGGCCAAGGAAGAGCATCGACACCATTGAACGTGTGTAGAAAATGAGAGCTGTTATGACTATTGGGAAGGACAGAACCATGAGGGATTTCACTTCTGTTATCACCTCTGAGATTGTTGTTGTCACCAACAACTGTGTTTGCTTTTCAGGGTCAATGAAGAGATCGTTTTGCAACGTTGTTGTTGCCTCTCTTTTTGTTCCCTTTGATTCGCACATGTTAGTCTTGTTACGGTTTAACTATGTTGAATGAATGAGTATTTGAATGTGAATATAATACAGGATGAGTAAGGTTGACGAAGGCTTTTTTCAAGGGTATGAGATATGGTCTTGAATGGTTGGTTACTGAAGAGATACTCTCGTAAAGAGCACTCTGTTTATGGTAAGGTGGATTGTTCTTTAGAAACAGAATGGGGACAGCCAAAAACTCTCAAAGTGACAAAATAGTTGATAGATAGAAGAAAGTAATTAGTGCTTGTGCGTGCGAGTGCCAGTGAGGATGGGTATGCGTATAAATAGAGGATTTCAATTGAAGCCTGGTTTTGATCTCGTTTAATTAAAGGGGTTAGTGTTTTTTATGTTATAGAAAATAATTGTATTTTTTATATATACATAAAAGTGTGTGGAACTTTTATATATATATATATATATATATATATATATATATATATATTCTCAGAAGACCCTACATATGCTTCATATATATTTATGTGTGTAGAAAATAATTTTATTTCATAAAAAAACATTAATTCCTTAATTAAAATACGTGCTTCCTTTTACTTTTTCAAAAATGACTTTGTGTTCCCATTGCTTGAGTTTGGAAATGAAAGGTTGACATATAAAGTCAAAAAAATTTATATGCTGATGCATTGCTCATCCATCTCCTCTTCTCTTTCATGCCGTACAGTTTGGGTGGAACTTATAAAGAGAAGATAAAAAGAAAATTTTTCATGTGTCATAAAATTATTTCCTATTTTCAAGAAAAATATTAAACCGTTTTAAATATTATATTTATTTCTCTCTCCATTGATATTAAATAGGTAGAGTATAATTGAAATTTATGAAAAAAAAAATAGATATTGTTCCGGGGAGAATCTTGGATGGAACATGTGCTCCTTGGGTGAATCCGACGGGTGAATCTGACTCCGGGTTAGATCTTCCGCCCAAGGAAACCACCAACTCAGAACATGGGTTTGCAACCCATGATTTTGTATCACCATGCTCTCACCCATGATCACCCCTTGTGATATAACTGCTCTAGGGCCAATTTCTATTACCATAATCATCCTTGTGGGTCTTATATATATAATAACAGTGTCCCACAAGGGATTTTTTTTAGCACATCGCATTCTTGAGCCCTATAAGAGCATTCACAATCTTCAGGTGTACACACATCCCTGATTTTCATACCATCGAACTATTAATCTAGGATGCTGCACATCTTGTTACTAGTCATCTCTACCTTCATTGGCAAAAAAATTAATTTAATGCTTTTTAATAAAATAATTACGCATTTATTACAGTTTTAAGAATAATTATGGATCTACTGCATAATGTGACGCCCCATTGAGGCGTCTCACCCTAAGGGGAGACGCCCCAATGCGTCACATTGTGCACCCTATATATTTCCCTTCCACTCTCACAAGTCTTCACACCTCTTCTCTCACCTTATATCCCTTCTCTACCAAAATTCCTAACATCATACATACATAATCCTTCATCTTTATTTTAGTATTTGAATTTTATTTCTTATTCTATTTAAGAATGAGTTCAAATCCTAATTTTGTTCGTGTTGTGTTATATTACAATGGTAGGAAGGTAGAAGGTCGACGAGGTGTCATGTTTGAAGGTGAAAAAAGGTCGTCATGTATCCAACGCAACGCAAACATTGGCGAACTGCATCAGAGAATTCGGCAGAAATTAAGTCTTCAAGGCAACCAATGTATCACTCAGATCACGACAAGGTTATGGCAATGTGATAAATACATTGTTTTGCAAGTGGTTGACGATGAAGACGTGGAGATGACAATGGGAGAATTTTTCAACCAGTCAAGGACAGATTTTCTGGAGTTGTATGTCGACATCGCGGCAGCGGAGAATGTTCCATTACCGGTGAGGTCAGTTGATTTAAATTATCTCCGTCTTCCATCAACGTCTGCCGCTCATGCGTCTCCAGTTGGTAACATTTCTAAGGGAGATGAAAATGATCTGACTTGAGAAATGCACAATGAAGACGACGATAATGATGATGAAAACATCGCAATGGAAGAACGTCTTCTGGCGGAGGATGCTAGTGCTTCAGATGGAGATGAAGGTGGTGAGATGGGTGCGTCTCAAATCCCAGTCAACCATGAACTAGTGGTCGTGCAAATGTCGCAATTGCATGACGTTGTGTCTGCCCCATTAGGTAATTATCATCAAGGTAATTGATATAATTTGTATATACCTGAATTGATACCTGATTTAATACCTGATTTAGGAAGTTTGTATTAAAAAGTTTTAATTATCAGATGGAAGATTACGAGATGGGGTGGAGATCACAATTGTTTGAATGAGCACATATCTCAGGGACATAGACAGGTCGATGCGGATGTTATTGCGGATCTCGTCATAGGTACGTATTTATTTTCAATGACATGTCAACGTTTACATACTGATGTGTAATTAAATTCGTTCTATGTTATCGAGTCTGTGACCTCTTCAATGCAGGGATGATAAGGGAAGAACCATCTGTGTCAATTTCTTTGGTTCAAGAAAGGATAACCTCTAAATATGGCTTTAAAGTTTCCTACAGAAAGGCATGGTATGCGAAGCAGAAAGCGATGGCAATTATGTAAGGTGATTGGGAGGGATCGTATGCTTTTTTTCCAAGGTGGTGTGAATACATGCTTCGCTTTTCTTCAGATTCATTTTATCATATCCAAACAAATGATTTTTATGCTGAGCATGGGTTAGTTACTGGAAAAAAGGTGTTTCTTCGAATGTTTTGGACGTTTAGACAGTGTTGTGAGGCGTTCAAATTTGCCAAACCAGTCATCCAAATTGATGGAACACATTTATATGGGAAGTACAAAGGCCACATTGGCAGTTACCGATCGCTTTTACCTAAGTTGGCAGAGCTTCACTACGAAAATTTTCGCGTTCGGTCGGGAGCACAAACCGTGGTTAGAGAGAGGTGAAATAGTGAGAAATGAAATGGTAAAAAAAGGGGTATATATAGGCCACACATGAGACGCCCCTTTTGGGCGTCACATGTGACGCCCCATTGGGGCGTCTTCCCTTAGGGTGAGACGCCTAAATGGAGCGTCACATGTGACGCCCAAAAGGGGCATCACATTGTTCAATAAATGTGTAATTATTCCTAAAACTGCAATAAATGCGTAATTATTTAATTAAAAAACATTATTTTAATTTTTTTTTCCTACCTTCATTCCATAATTACAATTATTAGCTCTTCAACTAGACATTCACAATTCACCTCCAAATAAATATAAAATTCCCCCCGTGAAATTTTAACACAAACATTACCCATTTCTAAAGTTCCAATTCATAGTACCACCCTGCTAACAGGCTCAATTGGTTTGTTTTTTAAATGAAAATAAATATAAAGTTAAGTTTCATATTGCTTTTAATATAAATAAAGGGTTAAAGATTTCTCGTGTTACATAAGAAGAATATATTTTTTCTACACACATAACAAACATGTGAGACCCACAAATTTATTGTAAAGTAAAGCTTTTTTTGGTCCCTAATAAAAAATACGATTTTCACTTTCGTTTCTTTAAAAAAAAAAAAAGTTAACTTCTAGCCCCTCTACAATTCCAATTCTTTGAAAATGTGATTCCTCAGAAATTCAATGAAGACCTAATTTAGTCCCTGAAAAATGATTAATATAAGTATGTTTTTATAAGGGACAAAAATGATAATCGTATTTTTTTGTTATGAAGCCAAAAAAAGCTTTACTTTTATGTGTAAGAAAAAAAATTATTCTTATATTATATAAGAAGAGTTTTGCCAATAAATAAAGGGAAAAAGATGTGTCATTTTAAATGACACATCTTATATCCTTTCACTCTCACACAAAGGTGGAATCCACATATTTAAAATTTTCTCATCCATTCTCTCGTTATAAATAACACAATTTTATATGCTTCAAAATAATACAAATTTTTTCCATAAATAAAAGCGTTGAATTTAAGAATTGGAAAGAGATGTACGATGTCAGTATAATACTGAAAGCCGAAAGGAACGATTCCCAATAGCGAAAATTTTGTGTCCCTTGCGATTGTAATATTTGCTCAGCTAGCCTGCTCGCTGCCTTAAATAATTGTTTTTAGGTTTTACTGAGGTGCAGTTACTTCTTCAAAAGGCATGAAAGCACAACATTACTCACTAAGGTGACGTACATATATCCTGGATTTCTGGGTCTAGTAAGAATTTTTGACTTCAACCCACTAATTATATCGGTAATGAATCCATCAAAACCAATAATGTTTTGCTTCCACAAATTAAGTTGTTAATAAATCCATTGGCCTAAGAACGTTTTAACTTTTTGCATATATAGTCAATTAAGGAGGGAAAAAAATAAAAAACCTGTCGCAAACGAGAGTGAGTTCTTGCGGGCCAAACACCAATTAATGCCTTGTCTTGCGTTTTATTTTTCAAAATGTCGTGTGATCCTGCACGCTTATTGATTTAGTTGTATAAGTAAAACACATAATATGTTTTTATTGCATCCTTGTTCACACATCAAATTCGGTTTCACATTGAGGCTTCAAATTTGGAGTTCATAGAATGCAAGTAAAGCAAGCAAGGTTGGAATTTATATGCCTAATTTTCTTTTCTCGAATTTCTTTCTTGTTTAGCTATAATAGTTCTTTAGTTCAAACATCAATTAATAATAATAATAAAAAATCAGAAAATGGATTAGGCACTAATAAGTGGGTTAGTATCTGTTGTGACTTCGAAAAGTATATCGGTCGTAAAAATAATAAAGTGTATTGGAGTACTATATTGTTCTCATGAGGATTAGAATTTCAATAACTAGTTCACTATTTACATTTTATTTGGACAATCAATAACGAGAATGTTTGAATTAAAATTTAAAATCAAGCAATTAGAGAATTAATAACGCAAGAAAGTAAATTGAAGATTGTTTTGACAATCACAGAACAGTTAGGACTTTGATTTTTTCCAATATCTCCTTTATGTTATGAATTAGATATTTAATTAATTATCCTTAATATATTGCCAATCGATTCCTCTAAATTAATTAGGACTAATCTCTTGACACCCTAATTCTTTATAATCTTGAAAGAATCATAATTCTCCGACTATTTCCCAAGAAGATAAACATTAATGTCAAGAATCACAAGATTACGCAGTTGCCCTATGTCTATTCCTAAAATCATAAGGATTGTGATGAATTTATCATACATGGATCATGTACTAAAATTTCTATTGTCATACAATCACCATAAATCAATCTACAAGATCAAACTCATAGAAGGAATTAAGAATGGATGAATTCATACAATATAGAGTACAACCTCTTTTGGGTCCCTAACAAAAAAACACGGTCCCCACTTTAGTCCTTTACAAAAATCCACGAGGACTGATTTACCATGCAATAACTTATTTATGCGATTAAATTTGGATCATTCATAAAACTAATTTCTAGAGAGTAATGATTTAAATTAATAAAAACTAAATTTTAAAAACAATATTTTTAGTTTTTAATATTAAGAACCAAGAACAATATTCAAGAACAAAGAACAATTTAACTTCAATTAATAACGAGCGTAGCTAAGGATTCGACTTCCCCAATGGTTTCCTAACGAGTCTAATCTTTCATGCAATTAACATTCAAGATCAATTATAGACGATTTTTTCCAAGCTAACTTAACTCTCAATCCCTTGATGATTTTAGTTCTTTATTTTAGTCTAAAGCATTAACCCCTTAGAGCCTTTTTTTAGAGCAAGCATTAAGGTCAAGAATCATAAGTCGTAGAACTTGTAAGCCTATGCCTAGAACATACAAACTCTAGAAATTAATCAAACGAAATCAAGAAAGTAATATTCCCATTGACATGCAAGATTCTAATGCCCATTCAAGATTGAACAGATCATAAACGAGACTAGGAATTTAAAACAGATTAATTGCATAATTGAAACATGAAAAATAATTATAAAAATGATTAAACAGCGTTCAGGAACCCATTGGTTCCATCTCTCCCTAACTACATAAACTAAATTAGCCTAGTATGTTCATAGAAACAAGAATAGATTAGAAAAGATGAAGAGAAATCCTAAAGAAAAGCATAAGGAACGAGAGAACTGATCTCCTTGGCGAAGCCTTGACCATTCCTCTGCCTTTTCCTCTCATAAAGATGTTGTTCTTACTCTCCAAGTCATCCAAGAATGAATGGGAATAACCCTAGACTTCCTTTTTTGATAAAAGAGATCCACGGGCCTTCAAAACGATGTCCTCACTGGCCTTGCTCGCTCCAGCAAGCAAATTTGACAATAACAACATGGTTTCGTATTTTGCGCATAACTTGAGTTATACTTGTCCAATTGATGTGATCTTGGTCTCATTGAAAAGATAAGAGAAAGATCTACAACTTCTATGAAGAATACAAGATAAAAATCATTCATATTCAATGCTAAATTTTTTCTAGAAGAAAGCTGCTGAGATATTCACAAAATCATTGCTCTTCCTTTATCGCTTTACTACTTCTAGCTTCTGCTTGGCTCCAATTCTTTGATTTAACAATTTAAACCTGAAATCAATATGTTTTTATGTCAATATCATTTCTAAACATTAAAACCCTATAATCTTTTGCATTCATTAATTATCACTATGTTCTTGATCATATTCATCATTATTTAATCTATTTTTGATTCCTGAAAAAAAGTGTCTTTGACACTTATCAGAGGCTACGTAGGTGGATACAAAGGTGAGAGTCGAGAGGTCAACAAACCGTGTAGATTTGGTAGTTGAATTGGACGGTGTGAATTATGCCAAATGGCATCAGCTAAGGGCAATATAAGGGAAGACGTGCACCAAAACAGACGCAACTTAGTGCCTATTGATCTATTTTGGTGTGCAAGTAGTTGCATTAGATTCATAAATAATTTCCTAATAGCATAAATTTCAATTTTATTATTATTATTATTATATTTAATGTGAATTTTTTGATTGATAATAATTTATACACGCAAAAAGAAAAAAACGAAAGTTACATATATTCAAGGTATAGTCTATTTTGTTTATTTCTTTAAACCATGAAATTAAAAGAATGTATATATATATTGTTACAAACACCGGCGGACCCACTTGCAGGCAAATGCCTGCAAGTACGGTCATAAACTTTTTGATTTCAGTTTTTTTTTGTAGGTTCTTATTTGTCTCTTGATTCAATATATATATTATGAGTAAATATCATTTTAGTTCCCATTTTAGTCTCTAAAAAAAATATGGTCCCCATTTTAGTCTTTTACAAAACAAAATTAGTCTCGAGATCTCTAAAAAATTTAAAGTAGATCAATTTAATTAAAATCGTGATCCCTCACAAATTCAAAAAAAAATCTACATTAGTCTCACAAAAAGACCAAAGTGAGTCCACTTTGAATTTCATAGGGAGCAGTTTATAATGGACTAAAGTGGTGACCGGATTTTTTTTAGGGACCAATAAGGGTATTTATTCTTATATTAGTTAGCAACAACGTACGAAGATGATTAAAACAACGTAACAACACAAATTGATTAGAGAGAAAACTTATTCTTCCTCCTCTATCACG